CTCTGAGTAAGATGGCACCATCCCTAATAATGGGCTTGGGTTTCCCTTAAACGCTGTGGGCCCTGGGCAAACCCCCCCTCTGCTCCAGGCACAAGTGGGAGGCAACCAGTGCACTTACCAGAACCGAGGAACTCCTCCAGGATCAGGCTGGGCTCCCCAGCTCACAGCGCACGTCTCTCCAGGCACAAGAGGTCTGGTGTAGGCTCCTCTGGTCCAGCCCTTGGCTCATGGTTGGGGTCAACCAAAGGCTCCATGCATGGGATGTCTGTATACTGGGCACAGGCAAGCGCCTGGTCCAGCACACCTGCAAAGGGAAGACAAGGCCAATGAGCATCATGTGGCGCCTTCCCCGGGCTAGGTTCTGTGTCCCATGGTGACCAAACCAGAAACAGTCCCTGCCTCTGTGCAGCCTGAAAGCTGGGCAGGGAGAGACATTGATCAAAGGATCAGAGGACTGATAACTGACTGCATATTGGAGTTGTATGTATAGAGGTGGATCAAGGAAGGCTTCCTGGAGGAGGTAGCACTGGAGCAGAGCCTTCAAGGATAAGGAGGGACAGGCATTCCAGGCAGGGCCACAGCTTGAGCAAAGGCATGGCACTGGGACTTGTAGATATGAAAACAACTTCAGCACCCAGAACCCGAAGAGTTCTTTGAGAGGTCCCATCACACTCCCATTTGGGTCCTGCAGCCATAAAGGCACCAAAGTCCTACCCGGGGACTGGCCACGTGGCCCAATGTGGCTCCTGTCCTCCCTGCTGCCCACACCAGGCCTTCCGGGCCCCAGACCTGCCCTTCCTCGGGGTCCTTCCCCAGCCCCAGCCCTGCGCGCACTCCGCGGGCTGGCGGGCAGCGCGCTTCGCATGCGTCCTCCACGTCCTGAGTAAGATGGCACCATCCCTAATAATGGGATGATGATGAACGAGACCGCATGGCGCCCGTGCTTCCCGGCCCTAGGGCCTGTCCCTGCTGGTGACAAATGGCCCCTCTGCCTCCACGGGGTCTTCACAGCGGCCTCGACTGCATGGCCTTGGCGGAGATTCATGTCTGTCTACCCCAGATTCTTCTTCCTGTCTCTGCTTCTTTATTCCCTCAGAGCATGCTTTCATTTATTCATTCCACAAACATTCTCCCAGCGCCTCCTGCGTAGTCGCTCCCGGCTATAAAGATCGGATTCAATACACCCTCACGTGCTGAACACCTGCGCTGCGCCGGCGTGTGAGGCCAGCTTTGATCCGGGTATTAGCTGTGCACCTACTGTGAGCCGGCTCCGCGGAGTCAAGGCCATGGCTTCGGGAAGCCCAGCGGCAGGAGGCAGCATCCCCGCCGCGGGTACTGAGTCCCACTAGGTGCTTCTACAGCCCCAGGCTGCTGGGTCCCCTCTGTCACAAGGAGGGAACCTACTTCTTCACCAGAGGCGGGTCTTACTAAAAACCTAGATTCAGCTGAGGAAATGTCAAGATCGGGTTAGCTTAATTCAATGATTCGTGAACCGCGGGGCACTGTATCTCGCAAGCAGAAGGGAGCTCCAAGGAGCTGTAGGAAATGGCAGGATTTTCTAGGCAGGGGGTCTAATGGGGCGGACGACCTCACTGGGGCTCCCGAGGAACTTCCAGACTGAGGGGTTCAACAGTGCGCTTGGGGAGCGGCTGGGACCGCCCTCAGGCGAGGCGTGGAGTCCTGGTGGGGTTTAGCACAAGGGGCGCCGTTTGCAGCCTGTTTCCTTTCAAGTCTCAACCTCAAAGTTAGAGACAACCCACAGGAAGAAGCCATGGCAGAGCTCTTGGAGCTCCGTGGTCTTGCCTGTAAGGAGGTGCAAGGGGGCAGGGGCAACGGGACGAGAGGTCTCACTCAGCCTGGACATTTAGGGGTTCTTTGCATCCTCGGGGGCCCACTGAGACTGTGACCTCGGGGAAGGGGTAGGGGGTGGTCTCCAGGACGGCACCAGCCACCACTCCGTGCAGTGCCAGGAGGTGTACAAGCCGGAAGCCGGGGGTGGGGGGGACCTGGGGGGAGCCCCGCCCTGCAGAGATGCGCTGGCGAGTCTGCGCCCTGTTCCAGCTCACGGGCCGCCCTGACTAGATCTGCACTCAACGAGGCAGCAAATACCGCCGTCAGACGCGCTCAATGTGGCCGCAAGACGCGGGGCCATGCGGTCTCAGTACCTAGATCTCCCTGGACCCAGGCTTCCGACAGAGCCAGCAGCCCTCCCCCAGGCCAGGCACAGCCAGGGGCCACGGGGCTGCACCCAGCTGCAACCCCCCATTTTGTGGGCGATGCCACCGGAGACCCCAGGTGGGTGCAGGGATAAAGGCCATGAAAAGTATAGCAAGCTAAGTGTGGGGAAAAGGGAGCCTACCCCATCGTGCAAAGAGAATTTGGGGAGATTTGACGGGCCCACCTTCTTCTAGGACACAGGGACAGTTCCTGAAGCCAGGCGCTGGCTCGCAAGCAACAGCAGGCAGCGAGCTTGATTAAGAACAAGCAGCCTGGAGCCAGACCCTGCCCTGCCGCCCTGCTGGATCATCTTGGCCAAGTCACTCAACCTCTCTGTGCCCCATTTCTTTATCCGTGAAACAGAACCTGCCCCCAAGGGCTGAGGAGGAGCATGAGTAAACACCCCAGAGTGGAGGCGGGCCCAGGAACAAGGCAAAAGCCCATTTGGGGCAGCTATGATTTTTCTTATCTCCCTTGAAAATGACAAGAGGATGGGAACGTGGGTCCGATTTGCCCAACGCCCTCCAGATTCTTGTGGAACCGTGTCCAGGGGACACAGTGCGGGGAGCTGGGACACCAGCCCACGCAGGCACCAGGAAAGGCGTGCACGTGAACTTGGAGCCACGGTTGGGTTTACGCAGCACCTCAGAGGTGGGCCCAGGGCTCTGAACCTCCGGCTCAGGGTCCCCGGGAATCTCATCCTGGCCGCTGGGGGGACCGACGTTCTCATTCAGCTTGTCAGATGAGAAAAGCTCTTTGTTTATTTTCTCTTCTCCTCAAACAACAGATAAACCAGTAATTTGGCTTTTAATGAAATTCTGCACTCAGCAGCATGGGGTCACTGTCTTTGGGTCTCAGATGAGTCTGGAACATCCCGCTGCAATGCCTGCTACCCTGGGCTGACACTTTGTCTCATGCATAGTTCTCAAGTGGTGACTGATGTACCCAAGCGGTGGCCTATAGCGGACTCGGGGGGGTGCCCGCGCTTGTTAATGCCGTGGTGTGGGGACGGTTACATTGGAGTTATTAAGGAAGGGTAATGTCGCCTCCCACCCCCCACATACATTTAATATATTACAAAGATGTGTGGCTGCATTAAAGCAATTTTCATCTCCAAATGTTCCCATTTAGTCAGTTCCATGCATAAAATATTAGCCCTGACACCAGGCTCCAGCCCGTCGCAGACGGAGTTCCCCAGAGCACCTGGCTCTGCCGGCCACCGATCGGCCGGAAGCTGGGGGCGCACTCAGTTGGTGTCTGCGGGATCATATGGGGGCTGGTCACTCCTTTCAGGGCCCCGGGGACCCCTTGGGAGGTGGAAAGAAGAGCCCACAACCAGCTCACCTGTCTCTTTTGCAGCAAACCTCAGACTCTGAAATCACATCCTGGAAAGGACAGAAAAAGCCGGAAAACCAAACAGCTTTTAACAAATGCAAAGAATTTCTAAAGCCGATTACCATATTCATGGGCTCTTCACCAAGTCTTCTTGCCTGCCTCCTTTGGGCCTGGCACTTTCCTGGGGTTAACTTCATAAGGTCCCTGCCCTTAGGGAGTCTGACAGTCAATCAACAAACACCCATCATTCCTCTGCTATGGGCCTGGCTGGGTCCTGGGGTTGGGGACACACCAGGTAACAGGACAGAAAAAATGCCTGCCCTCAGAAATCTTACAGTCTAAGGGGAGAGGGAAGTAGACATTAACCTCAATTCACTTTGGATGGCAGAAAGCTAAGGCAGAAAACCTGACAGGGTGGCTGATTGAAGCTGGCTGGGAAGAGTTGGGGGCTAGACTGGGGGACCAGGGACATTTCATCCCCTCTAGAATCCTGAACTCCTGCTCTAGAAAGGGGGCTGCCACTTGCAGGGGGAACAGGACACTGTGTGGAGTGTCCTGAAAAAAGGATATGCAGGGCACGGGGACTGGGGACGGAGGTCTGGACCCTGGACGGCAGGAGGCTAGGGGCAGGCTGCACAGAGGAGACCACCGGGACTCAGCTCCCCGTGGGAGGACAGAGGGATGCTAACTGGGACATACTGTGAAGCATGAAAGGCAGGAAGTGGCAGGAATGAGGGTGGCCGGTCCAGGGCCTTGGGACACTAGTCACCATCTTGGAGCCAGCCACGAGGGGAGGGGTGCAACAGAGGGGCTCCAGGCTGTGCAGAGAGAGCCAGACTGCACTCTGGGGAGTTCTCCCTGGCAGAAGGAGGAGGAGGCAGTGGAGGGAGAACCAACGGAGGCCTGTGCAGTGGTCCAGGCCCAGAGAGACCCCCGTCTTGACAGAGAATCCCACAGGGGAGAGGCATGCACGGTGGTGAGACCTCCAGGGTGAGGATGTGGTCCTGCACCCCTGGGGATGCTGCCACCCCGCTCAGAAAGAGCTTCCTGAGGCCCACGAGACAGTTAACGAACACTGACCCCTCGCCCACCCTGTGGAGGCATCTTGGAGTTCACGTGTCCAACTGCCCTGGACCCTTCCCACCCCCGGTGATCCTGCCGTGGTCTGAGTAGGGCCGAGGACGTGAGGATGCCAAGGTGAAATGGGGACCAGCAGGTAAAGGCCTGGCCCCACGCGGAGGGAACCGCCAGGGGCAGGGATGTTGGGGCGCACCGACTAGGGGACTCAGAGGTCCCTCCGTGGTGTTTTGAGAAGCCCTCCAGAACGGAGGGGGCTGGGAAACTACCAGGCCAGGTGGCACAGGAGCTACAGCAGGTGCCCAGGTGAGCCAATCCAGAGGCTTCCGCCGCCTGGAGTCGGCACCCGGAGTGGAGGTTGTCCACGGCGGGATTCGATTCCGGAAAGAGGTTGACTGTATAATATTCATCGTATAGAAAGTGAACACCTCACAGGCAACCTATTTCAGGGACCACTGAGCAGGGCTGACTCCAGACGGGAGGTTCTTCCTCCAGACGGCCCGCCACCCGCCCCGGGGGGGCGGGATGCGAGGTGGCAGGGGCGGGCCCTTGGCCATGCAGTGGCGGCGCGGCCCTCCCGACGGCGGGCGTGCAGGAGGCATGCAAGGCGGGAGCTGATACTGAAGAGAGGTCGACCGTGTATTGTGCGTCATGATGGATGCGAACGCGCCACGGGCGACCTCTCCTCAGCACCACGTGGAGCAGCACGCTCAGCAGGCAGGCCTCCGGCTCTTCCCAGGGGTGTCACCCTGCGGGGCTCCGAGGCACTGGGGTGAGGGGAACGCGGCCGGGACACGCTTCCCGGGTGCAGGCCATGCATGTGGTCAGCCCTCAGTGAGGGGTTCCATTGGGGAGCCCTCTGCCTCAATGGCACTGAGCATGGAAACAGCCAGAGCCCGTGTCACTCGTCACACGTCAAGCGAATGCTTCATGACCAGCCTCCCCAATGCAAAACCCCCGCTTCTTCCCCGAAGTCGACATGCCCTCCAGGAAGCTCTCCCAGGACGGAGTCAAAATGTTGAAGGTCAGCAGAGAGGGTGGTAAATGTCATTGCAGAGCCCATGCATTCACGTACCCTGGACGGGGCAGGCCTCAGGCCCGGCCCTGCATGCGAGGCGTAGGTGGTACTGAAGACAGGCCATCTGTGTTATATTCGTCATTAATAAAGCGAACTCATCACAGACAACCTCTCCTCAGCTACCCAAGGTGACACGGACTCCAGGACCACGGCCGCTGCAGCAACGGTGGGCGCCTCCCGGAAGCCGTCCTGAGGGGGGATCAGATACCAAAAAGTGAGGGGACACAGGACAAGGCAGTGCACGCCCCGCCCAGCCCAGCCTCGGGGACCAGGCCTCCCTCCGGGCAGCCCGCTGGGGCAGTGACCCAGAAGCCCCCACCCCCTTCCCACCCCAACCAGGGCTTTATCTCCAAGAGGTCCTCCGAGGTGAGCTTTGATACCGAGAAAAGATCAACCATGTATTATTCGAAGTCAATAAAGCGAATATGACACGGTCGATCTCCCTTCAAGTACCAGGAGAGGCGCCGAGCCGAGGAGTGGGCAGCTTGGCCCAGGCCCGCGGGCCCGCAGGCTGCGGTGGGTACGGACGGCTAGTGGACCAGGTGAAGTACATTAGAAACAATTACTTTCCAACTGGTCGACCATCCCTCCTGTACCCCGGAGCGGTGCTGATACCGACGTTCTTCCCCGAGGTGCCACGGCCTCCGAGACGGCCCCTCTGATGGATTTTGATACCGAAAAGGGGTTCACCGAGCAACATTCGTCGTCCAGATGCAAAGTTGCTCGGGTAACCTCTCCCCGAGTACCATGGAGAGGCTCGGATGCTTGGACTAAGGTGGATGCTGCAAGGTGGCCGTGCTTCCAGGAGACCCCCCCAAGGGTAGCTTGAGCACTGGGCATCAGGGGCTGGGGGCTGTACCCTCTACCAGGACCACCCCCCCAATCGCCGAGGTCAACCATTCCATCACCTCCCCAGAATGAGCCACATCCAAGAGTTAAGTTGAGACCCAGGCGGGATCTTAGTCCACAGAGAGGGTGCCCATGCTGGGACCCCTTGCCCCGGATGAACTCCCCACAGGAGCTCACGGATAGCTGAAGTGCCCTTTTTGCTGAACTACCCCAACCACGGGCTATCGGAAGATGGACCAGACCCTGAAGCAGAGCTGATGAAGAGGAAATCCTGCTTGTGCTCAACTCTTCATTCCTGGACCCCAAAGAGGAGGGACTCCAGGGCCCCCCAGTGGGCACCGAGCCTCCCTCGGGAGGACGATGCCTTTGGAAGGAGCTCAGGGGGGATACTGTATGGGCACACAATGCTGAGGCCAGGGCTCCACACTCCGAGCCCCCACCAACACCACCTCTAGCTCCCTGCAGGCATCGCCACCCCGGAATCCTTCAAAGGGCGATTTAACACGAAAAACTGGTTGACCATTTGATTAGCCCCACAAACAAAGCAAGCGAAACACCAAAAGTGAAGGGGGAGAAAAAGAGGAAGAAAGAAGCAAATGAAGTGCAGGTGACCTTCAAAAAGAGGCAAACAGCCCAGTATCAGAAACCCAGGCTTCCCCGGAGATGACATCACATCCAGACTATGCCCCAAATCATGGACTGGCGAGCGAGGGTCGGGGAGCAGACGACAGATGCCACAAGCAGAGACTGGATTCTGTGCCCACCACCCATTTTGCGAACTCTGGAGTGGGACCGACAGCAGAATCCTTTCCCTGACGTTGGCATGAGTTCAGAAAGCCCTCTGGTCTCGCTACGACTGGGGCAAGAGGCCAGCCACCTAAGGTCTATCCTAAAGAAAGAAAACACGCTATGGACAGCAGCCCTTCAGGGACCACGGACACTGACCTGCAGTTCAGAGACTCCTCCTCAGAGCTGGCATCGCCTCCAGAAGTGCCCGTGAGAACCGGCTGGATCGCGACAGCTAGAGGACCAGATGGCGCACATCAGTATACTCAAGGCACGTCCGGGGCGGCACCCACGCACCTACCCTCCAGAGGCCTCCAACTGCTGGCCACCTCCTGAGGGTGGCGCGCTCCTGGAAATCCTCCAAGGCAGGGCTGATCTGGAAAGAGAAGCACCACGCACTGCTGGTGGTAAATAAAGCCTGCCAGCAGAGGACAAGCTCTTTTCACGCCCCGGGAAATGGCTTTAGTCCCAGAAGCAGCGCCTCCAGGACCACCACCTCCCAAACAGGCTCAGCCTCCATGACCAGGTAACACTTGGCACCAGTCAGGGGCATGTCCTTGGGGCCAGCATGGAGCCCTGAGAGGGGCCACACCCTGGCGTCCAAGGAAGGATTGCACATAGGAATGTCCCAGCCTTCATGTGTCCTCGACAGTAGCACTGCAGACAACTGTCCAGAGGACAAGTCCCCACTGACCCAGGACGTTCTGCCTCACTGCTGGAGTCAGCACGTCACCCCACCCACAACCCCACCAAGAGGGAGCAGACCAGCTGAGGCATGTCACCAAGATGGCGCATGCTCTGGTGACAACATGCACCCACTTTACCAGCGTGCCACCCCTGAAGCCAGCATGCCCAACTGGGAAGCTCTCCAGGAAGATTTAGGACAGAAAGGAAAGATCAGCAGCAGCAAAACACCGTGCCTCGGACCCTCCGTTCCCACTGACCCTGTCAACTCCACTGCAAACACACACAAATTTAACCGTCTTAATGAGAATTGTACCAACATTGGTTTTCATAAAGACATGTTTTTCAGAGCAAATTCCATTAAACTAATCCAATTCCCTGCTGAGCTTTTCCGACTGTGCTGCTGAGCTGTTTTCATTTCTTTTATTTCCCCTGTTATTTTCCCAAAATCATTTTCATTAGGATCAATTCTTTTCCATTTAAAAATCTGAATGAAGATTGGACTCCTCGATGTGCTTTGTGTACATCGAATATCGTCGCTCAGAGCCGCCACCGGCCTCCTCCCAGGGCCACCGCGTGGACTGCACGCCACCTCCCCGGGTCCGAAGCGGCCGCCTAAACCTTGTCAAGGAAATTGGATGCTTCTGCCAATTTGTAGTCAATCGAACACGTCCTACTCTGTGCCACTACAGTTGACTTTAGTTTTATTGTGTGTTGATTATTTTTATCACTATTATTTAATACAGATGGGATGAAATACTGACAGCCTCTATTCATTTCATAACCCAAGAGAAAATGAAGAACCGTGTTGGGCAGGGTGAGAGAGAGAGAGAAGCAGAGAGGCATAGGAAAAATTCAGAGAGAAGAGAGAAGACAAGAGGAATCTGGAGCAAAAGAGAGAGAATGAGAAGCTGCAGCCTTTAAAATCGTCGAGTGCAAACTCTACATATCCGCAAGGTCAAAATACCTTCAGAGAAAAAGTGGTGGAGGCAGAGTGCCTTTGGGGTCAGTGGTCAAAATGGTGACGTAAAGACAGAGGTCCCAGGCCAAAACGGTAGCAGGTAGCACTCACACCTTCCTGCAAGGGCCCCAGGTGACCCATGTCACGGATCGAGCTTGTGTTCTCTGATCAACGTTCATTCTTGTCCACTGGAGCCGTGTAGACACCCACGTCTACACCATCCGTTCTCGTTCACGGGAGAGGTGGAGACCCTGGGCTGGGTCCCGGAAGCCATCCCAGGCAGGATTTGATACTCAAACAAAAGTTGCCTTTGTGTGATTCAACATAAATAAAGCGAATTCACCAAGGGCAACCTCTGCTCAAGGATCAAACGTCGGCAGGGACAAGAACACCACCAGGACGCCTCTTCACCACCGGTGGCACCGCCTCCAGTGTCTGGCTGCGCGTCTCCCCAGGCCGGCGCTGACACCAATTCCTGTCTCTCTCTCTGAGGCTGCCACGACATCCGAGGAGCCCCACGTGTGATGGGAACACGGTGTGTCGTCAGGGAGGGTATCAGGCACCGGGGATCGTCCCCTGAGCTGGCTTCGGCTGGGTGTGGGTGGCGGCTGGGGCCTTGAGAACACACAGCATAAGTCAGGCCCATGCTTGGGGCAGCATCTGGTCACTTACCCTAGAGAGGCACAGACACTGAAGTCCTGTCCCAAAGCTGGCGTCTCCCCCGGGAAGTCCCCAAGCTGCGATTTAACACAGAGAGGGAGCAGCTGTCTAATGCTCTCCCTGTGTTGTGAGCATGGCAGGGTCCATGCAGCTCCCAGCCTGGGGTCCCTGACCTGCAGACCGGCCACTCCTCTGCGAGGGGGCGTGGATGGTACCCTCAGGCCAGCACGGGCTTGCGGCTGCCCTTCATTCACTCTTCCTTCCAGGAGGCCTCAAAGGGAGCATCTAATAAAGAAAATAGCCAACCAGCCATTACTCACACAGTCAGCATCACGTCTACTGTGCACTGTTCGGGACACAGCAGTGGGCAGGACAGACAAGCCTCTGCCCTGGGAGGTTGCACTCTGTGGGGAAGGACAGTAAATGAAGATCGATGATACAATAACGAGATAATAATAACAACCATCACCAGGGCCAATGCTTACTCAATGTCACTATGTGCCAGACACTGCCATCATTTAGCTCATATATAGCACTTTTTTTTTTTTTCTGCTTTATCTCCCCAACGCCCCCCGCACATAGTTGTATATCTTAGTTGTGAGTCCTTCTAGTTGTGGCATGTGGGAAGCCGCCTCAACATGACCTGACGAGCAGTGCCATGTCCGTGCCCAGGATCCGAACCCTGGGCCGCCGCAGCGGAGCGTGTGAACTTAACCACTCGGCCATGGGGCCAGCCCCCATATATAGCACTTTTATACCTACCCTATGAATAGGCATTAACCCCATTTTACAGACAAATAAACTGAGGCACAGAGACGTGGCAGATTAAGTACCTTGCCCAAGGTCACACAGCTAGCAAACATAAAGTAATAACAAATGCTATTAATGATTCTTATCTTGCACCAGGAATAAACAGACCATGCCATGGAAACCTGTCTGCAAATATCATCGATTCTCACTGCCGAGGGAACCCCCAACCACCACCACCTCCCTGGAGGTCACCCCGAGGATCAGGACACCGAAGGGGTAGTAACACGTTGCATAAATAAAGTGTGTGCCTTCCACTCGGCCGGGCTGTTGGGGTGACGCAAAAGTCTCTTTCCTTAAAACATGCCTCATATCCAAGGTGATTTTATCCCCAAAAGACATGTACCAAATACACTCATTCACTAATGAGCCCTCAAGGAAGGGAGGGTATGACTAGAACACCACGGTCTCACCTAAAATGAGTGTCACCCCTGGGCATCCTGGGCCAGGTGACACGTGTCACACAGAAAGCACTTATGCGTAGATGACCCGTTTCCTTACCTGGGCCAGGCGCCGGCTGAAACTTCCCCTTGTGACGTTTTCCCAAGAAGAATTTAGTACTGAAAGGAGATTGGCCATGTAATACTCATCATAAATAAAATGAACACACCATGGACAACCTCCATTCGAGTACCTGGCTAGGGTGCTGGCTTCCGGCACATTCCAGACAGCAGGCCTAAGGACGGACGGGATACTGAGAGTGAGGATGCTGGCAACACACACTGTCAACAAAACACATGCTCTGTGGTCCAGGCGAGAGGTGCGGACCCCACTGTCCCTTCCTTGAAATCAGCACCCCTTCCAGGAAGCCGTTCAGGGAGGGACACGCTGCCACACGGAGGTGTGCAGAGCATCACGTGTTACGCGCAAAGAGTAAGCAACGTGGATGGCCTCTTGTCAATCACACAGTGACTCTACAATGAAACTACCGCCTCGCGGGGAAACTGGCGCACCCCTAGAGGTGGACGACGACACACTGAGGTGAGTGAACACGGGTGACACACACATGGGAAATCGTGCACACGCGCAGCTTGACCATCCATTCAGGCGTGCGCACGCCAACTCTAGTTCCCAAAGTTGGCCTCGTCCCAGGGTGCTTTAAGGCCAGATTTGATACTTAAAAAAAGGTCAACCATGTATGATTCGTCGAAAAATAAAGCGAATGCATCATGGAAGACCTCTCTTCAAGCACCGCCGAGTAGCTCTGGTAGGAAAACCTGCACTGCCTCCCCTGAGTTGGCACCACCTCCAGGAAGGTTCCCGTGGATGGGGCACACAGAGGGCTGGGGCCGGGCACACAGCACCAGGAAAGCACCTGCTCTGTGCTCAGCCGGGGTCAACGGTCCCTCCGCTTACCCTGGAGAGGAGCTGACACCAAGTCCCCGCCCTGAAGTGGGATTTGGTACTGAAAAATAGGTGAACCGTGTATGATTCGTCACAGATAAAGCGAAGGCAACACGGATAACCTATCTCCAAGTACCGCGGATTGGCACCGACCAGGTGCCAGTGCCTCTTCTCCAAAGCTGGCCTCCTCCAGGAAGTCCCCTAAGGACAGAGTGAACACTGAGGGTTAGCAGACTGACTGAGAGAGGGTCATAAGTGAAACACACCCCCGTGTTCAACTGTCCCATCCTAGACCCTGAAGGGGCCCGGCATCGACACATTTGCCATGCTTGGTGGGGTATCTACGAAGCACTTTCGGGGTGGGGGTGAGGGGGTGGGGTTGAAGGTGGAGAGGTTAAGCGCATAAAAATTCACTATTTTGATCACATTAAGGAACATTTCCTCATGTCACATTAGCATCAAAGCTGACAGCAGAGATCCCCTCCTCACAGCGGCCTTGTGTCCAGGAAGCCCTCGAAAGTGGGAATTCATGGCGAAGTTGACGTTGCAACGTTGATCATAAAGAAAATTGGCAGCATGGAATGCAAACGTCGTTAGACCACAGCACGGCACTGACCTCAGAATTGTGGCCTCATCTGCAAAGGTGGGCACGACTTCCAAGAAGTCTCCCTAAGGGTAAAATGCACACTTAAGGTTAATAGAACAGCAGATACAGGATCAAAAATAAATCCTCCCTTGTTAAAAGTAAATTCACATACCTAGCAAACGGTGTTGACTCCACGTCCGTCCCAGAAGCTGGCACTGCAATGGCATCCTGCCAAGGTGGAAGGTGATACTAAGAGGGGGCATCTGGGTATGATTCATTCTAAAGAGCAAATGCAGAGTGCAAATGACAGTCGAGAGAGTTCTAGATAAAGATGGCAGATGGAGTCAGATCACAGATTTTTCCTCCTCTAGCCGATAAGGAAATAAACAAGTGACCATGTAACCCATGAAAAACTAACACAGAGTAGAAAAGCACTCATAGAAATCATAGAAGAAGACAGCCTTGAAATGAAGGAACAGCTAACCTTACTAATCAAGAAGGCTTAATATGATTCAGAAAAACTGAAAAAGAACCATAGCGACTGAGTCAGATCCTGGCGAAGAGCTAAGGGAGAGCCCTTCTCCTCCACAAACTCAGAGAAATGTTGGATAAAATGCAACCCCAGCCAAAAACAACTGGTAAATAAATGCACAGCTGGAAGGAATGGGAGGAAGGGACACCCTCAGCTGCCAGGGAAGACAGACTTAATGCGTAACAACAAGATTGCAACCTGCCACCAAGAGACCGAAGTGGTGCTGTGCTGGCTGGAGGCTCGGAGAGCCTGGGGTCGTCACGTCCGAGCTGGAGATGTGATCTTGGACCCCAGAGAGGTGGGGACCTGGGACAGAAAAGGGAGCCAGAAGACTCTATACTGCCCCAGAGAAGTGACAGCAGAGTGGGCAGGAGGAGCTCTCCTCTGAGAAGCCAAAGCTCCAGGACAAAGCTGTGATGAGGATTTACACCAGCCGATGGGACGGGAATCCTGAAGCCAACGAACGCGTGGGAAAATCGGTCCCAGTCGGGGAGACCCCTGGGGGGCCAGGCAGACGCCCGTGCAGAAGCGTGCTGCTGCAGCTCTGGCACAGGGAACAAAACGCAACAGAAACCCTCCAATGCCCACTAACGGGAATCTCACAATGAAAAGTTACCAGACCCGTGAAGACAGGCACCGTCGTGAGTCGACAGACTCAACAAAGAGAAGGACTTGTACCCCAGGGCTGAGAGAAATGGTACAAGAAGCATCTTCAAAGTGACCAAAAAGATGAAAAAGAGCTAGAAATCATGGGGCTGACTAGAACAGTATCAAACAAAATAGGCCGATGAGTAAAGGTGGAAGAGCTGTGGTCAGACATTCTCAGAGAAGAAAGACCTCCTGGAGGAGAGGGCCGCCAAGTCTTCCAACAAGGTGCGTGAAAATCCCGTAGGTGATGCAGCCCAGCTAAGGAAGAGCTGTGAGGAAAGGCCCCATCAAAAAAGCCAGGGAAACGCTAACAGCAGACGACCGTGGAGCATTACCTACAAGGGTCTAAGGGAAAAAAAGAGGCTGAGGATTTTATACCTAGTTAAGCTGTCCCTTGGGTATAGAAGTGAGAGAGACATATTCTCAAACGTGCCAGGACTGAGGGCTAGCATCTATGAGCCCTTCTTAAAGAAATAATGAGAAATCCATTCTATTGAGAGATGCACTGAAATTAAAAACTCAGGAATCGAAAGGCTTTGTTGAAGGGAAAAAAACCAACTAGTGGTCAGTAATGAATCGATTTAAATATAGAACTATGATTAAACACCTGCAAAAACTGTGGTTATAGAACAAAATGCACATATTTATAATGGAAAAATTAAATTATATACCAAAAAAGAAAATCAGGAAGTAGGGAAAAAAGTAAGAAAGATTTTCTTATATTTCAGAACTAGGAGTGAAACTGAAACAGTTAAAATATATAATGATCCCAACCACTTAATGTTTTACACAATAATTTTTCTTGATTTTTATGGGGATCTTTTAGGAACTGATACTTCTTGTGGTAGAAGGAGAAACATTTATCAATTCTTCCAATTTTCATCAGCTCATTCTTTAGGTTAAATTCCAGTAAAATTTTAGTTAACACTTTTAATAAGGATCACGTACAGTGTGATCTCAGATTTGTAAAATATCTTTCTCTCTGCCTATCTACCTTCCTATTTGCATATATGCTCAGATAGGTATTTGAAATTTCTAAAACCCTGAGGGTTATTTCTGGGTGGACAGAGAATTGGGTAATTGTCTCTCTTTTTATTTACATTTTTCCATCTTGCTTGAATTTTTTATTATAAGTATATTGTTTTTATAAATACGGTGATAAAGGAAAATAATTATTCTTTTTGAAAAGAAAAACTAAATTAAAAATAGAGCTGCCCTCTGTCCTTGAATTTGGGGTGACCTCCAGGTCAACAGATATGGTGACTCACCCACTCGCTTGGCCCAGAAAAAACTGCTGAGTGTGATGCCCCTTCCCTGACTTTGCCGACATATCTAAGGGGTCCTCCCTCCAAGACAAATTTTAATACTGAAAGAGAAGGGAACTACCTACTGTTTTCCTTTAAAAAACAAAAAAACCTCAGAAGCATCACGGACACCGTTTCCCCAGTCACTTAAGCTCTTAAACCTAGTGCACATGCTTCTTCCCCAAAACCGGCAGCATCTTCCATGAACAGACCGAATGAGGGCAGGGACCACTAGCAGCACCTACCCGCTCGTTCCAGGGCCACCCACATGTTCCAGTACACTGTCCTGGGGCCAACGTGACTGTGGCTTCCTAGAAATCAGCATCAGCTCCCTCCAAGAAGATGCCTGGCGAGATGTGATACCGAAAAGAGATCGACCGTGTATTGGGCATCATTAAATAATGCGAACTCACCACGGACAACCTCCCTCCGAGTACCATGAGGAGGCGCTGCTCGCAGCATCCCTGCGTCCATGCAGCCTGGGCGGCTTGGGACTGGCCTCTGAGGGTGGACGGGACACCGAGCATGAGTGGACCAACTGGCTCAATCCCCATGCCAAACGTATGCTCTCTGGCCAACCCCTTGTACACCAACCCGGGATTAGTGGGGACAGGAAGGCCACTTCCTGTACTTGGCTGGCCATGCAAGCAACAGTCAACAATGCAAAGAAGTCAGCTGCGTGAGAGTCATTACAAAGGAAGCAAAGAGCTCTTGAAAGAACACAGTTTGCAAGAACAGGTTGCCACTGCCCCTTGGTAAAGCTGGGATCACCCTACAGGAGCTCCCTGGAGGATGTGGGGCTGCTGCGGGTCGGTAAACCAGGGTTCCCACAGGTCCTGCCTCCTGTTCTCTCCCATATCTGAGAGCTGACTAATAAAACATGCTTCCGGGTGCCCCTCCAAGGTTGGATTTGATGGTAAAAAAAGTCATCCATGTGCATTTCAATGTTAATTTTTTAAAAGTTAGGGCATTACAACAGCCTCTCTAGGTCGTCGTAAAGTTGGCGCTGCCCCAGAAAGTCGCCTTAGGGCCAGCTCAGACGCTGGGGTTAGTGTGTCAGTAACACGCATCCTCAGGAAAGCGCTTGCTAGGGGCTCAGCCATCCCGGCACCTACCTTGGAAACAGCACTGGCCCAGGAAGCCCCCCGAGGCAGAATTTGACACTAAAAGAGAGGAGAGCCGTGTATGACTCGCTTTGATGAATCGAATTCATCACGGCCAGCCTCTCTTCAAGTACCAAAAGCGAACACTGGCGAGAAATCCATTGCCTCTACTGCAAAGGCGGCTGCCCCTCGCAGGAGCCCTGTAAGGAAAGGGTGGGACAAGATTGGGTAGTGGGCCGAGTGACATACTACTACATCAATTGCATGCTCACCCGAGACGCACTTACCCTCAGGGGGTGGGTCCTGTTAGTCCTCCTGGGCAAGAGGGGGTGGCATTCTATAGCCGTCATGAAGTAGCCTTGGTGGTAGCCCTTCGGTTCCTATGATGGAGCAGCACTGACTGGAGAACCACGGCCACTTCCCAAAGCAGGCACCACCTCCACGGATCCTCCTGTGGAAAGACAGGATGCTGGGGTTTAGAGGACCAAGTGCCACACCTAGTACCTAAAGCACATGTTCTGTGAACAGTCACACACCCTGGAGAGGAGCTGGCCCGCTCGCTTCAGGTCCCTCATCGGAAGGCAACAGGCAACGTCAGGTCCCAGGAACGCTTCAAGGATGCTGTGACAGTGATAGTGATGAAGGGGGTACCAAGGATGACTCATCAATTTTTAAGTGAACACACCCTCCCAACCACGGCTGTCCAGTTCCACTGAGCAGTCGCCACCACAAGTCCATTGCCGCGGGCCCAAAGTTGGCAGGACCTCCTTGAAGTCTTCCGGGGTGGGCGGGGTGGGTGCTGAGGGTTGGTGACTAGGTGGCCCACAGGGTGAACAGAGTGCTTGCCCCTCTGGTCAACCAGTCACACACCCTGGACAGTGCTGACACCAGCATCTCTTCTGGAAGTCGGCCTTGGGCTCAGGAAGCCTCTCTTCAAAGTCTTGTGAGGTGACGC